CCGAGACCACAGCAGTGTGGAACCAGCTCTTACAGCCCATACCGGGGAGGCAGCGGGGGCAGCTGTAGGGTGAAGGGGGCACCCAAGATACCGTGTCCCCGAGGTCACTAAATCACTGGTGTCTGGAATCAGTAACAGATAATCCTGGGGACGTGGACAAGGCCCCCAGCACGAGTCTTACTCAGCGTGACTCAGCACGACCAACCGTTGCTTGACCGTAGCCTTGCTCAGCATGACTCAACATGACTTGGCATTACTCGGCATTATTCGGCAATGTTGAAGCCTGTCTGGCATCATTCAATATTGCTCAGCACTGCTCAACAGTACTCAGCATTACTCGAATTACTCGACATTACTCGGCATTACTCGGCATTACTCAGCATTACTCAGCAGCACTTAGCATTGTTCAGCATGGCTCAGCAGTACTTAGCATTACCCAGCATTACCTAGCATTCCTCGGCATTACTCAGCAGTACTTGGCATTGCTTGGCATTACTCAGCTTGGGTGCAGAGCAGCCAGGCTTACATCGCAGATCATTCTGGCACCTGGCTGCCTGGCACGCCCACATTCCGGGGAGAGGCGGAGTGAGTGGCTCTGCACGGGGCTGGAGGTGCTTGTTTGCACACGGCCCACATTCCGTCATTGGTACCTGCCCATGGTCCCCCGAGCCCATCAGGAGTGGTCCCCGAGCTTGGAGCCTGGAGTAAGCCCTGAGCACTGCTGGGTGTGGCTCAAAAAAAGGGAGGGAATCTGCAGCCACAGGAGTCAGGGCACACCCCCAGCTCCCTGGCCCGGCTACCCTGAGGATGGAGCGCAGGCAGGGCAGACAGGAGCCCTGGGTTCTGCCCCCCACCCCCATGATGTGATGGGGTAGGGTAGTGTGGTGGGGTAGGAGGGGGCAGGAGTCTCAAGGACAGGGCGGGGTGCAGTGCCTGGATACCCCACAGAGCAGACACCCAAGGGTGGCGAAGGGCAGAACATGGCCTGCTGGCCTCTGCTGATGCTGGTGTTTACAATCAGAAAGTTCCGCGGCCCTTGCGGGGTGCTTAAATTAGCCCCCGTGCAGACCAAATCATTTCACTTGCAGAGAAGGGCTTAATTGCCAGGGGAACGAGGCGAAGGGAATTCTGTTGCCTGTTTTCATTGGAGAAAATTACTGTACTTTCCCCTGTCTCCTTCCAAAGCAGAAGCAGCTCGCAATTGGGCTGTGGCATCCGCACCACTCTCCCTTCTTGGGGAGAAGTTCACTCCTTCCCCGTCCTCCAGGCCCTACTCAGGCTTTTTCTTCTGTCTCTCTGGCTGGGGATGTGGGGAGAGGCCAGCCTGGCCCCTAGGGTGGGTAATGTCGGCGTGGTTTGCCCTCCGGTGCCCTCCCCCTGCCTTGAGAAGCTGCCCTAACTTTAGGGGACTCGGCGTGGTCTGGCCTGCGCTGCCCACAGGGATGGAATGTTTCGTGCCTGTCCTGAGCCCTGTCTGCTCAAGTCTCGGTCCCCAGCGCTGCAGGGAGCAGTGCCCCAGGTCCCTCTCACATGGTCCCTGTGTCTGTCTGGTCCCAATATTAGGTCTCCCTCCCTAGCCAGTCTCAGCCATCTGCAGTGGAGTGGGGGAGCGGGGCGCAGGGGGAGGCGAGAACCCACCGTGGTCTGACAACCATCTCCCTGTGGAAGCCCTCGACTCCACATGGCCGAGGACGGGGACACCCAGACCCCTCTACAGATGCCAGGAGCCCCTGGCGAGTTCAGGCTGTCGGCTATGCCCTGGCCAGCTGTGAACGCAGGTGCCAGCATCCTCCTGGGGTCCAATTAAGCGGCTGGAAGGACCCACAAGACTTGGGGAAGTCTCGAATGCATCACTGGTTTATTACCAGGCTGGAAGGATACGAATCAACAGTCAGTGGAGGAGAAGCCCAGGGCTCCAGCCAGGACCCCCCAGAAACCCTCCCTTGGGGCCACACCCAGAGCTTTTTGTTTCAGTTTTTTTACCATCAAGACCCTCCCTTGCCAAACTCTCCTGCAGCTTATGGCTAAGACCCCGTAGTTGACCCCACAGACTTTCTTTTTGGTCTGGGGGCCAGAGCCAGCAGTGCTCAGGCCTTACTCATGGCTCTGTGCTTGGGAATCCCTCCTGGCAGGGCTCCTGGGGTGCTGGGGTTCAGCAGTGGGTGACTCAGGGGTCATCAGTAACTGAGCCCAGGCGGCAGCCCCTCCCTGCAGGCCGGGGGCAGGGCAGAAGGACCCACCCTCTGCTGCCTGGTTTCCCTGGTAACCAGCTCCCATCCTCAGATGTTTTTCCGAGTTACCTCTATTGACACAGCAGAATGCTGATCGCGCTCCACAACAGGAAACTCCAAGGCTTTGGGAGCTGGGGGCCAGGTATTAGGAAGGTCGCATGAACAAGAGAAATACACGTGGGGGACCCAGATGAGCATTTCATAGGCCCCCTGAGGTTGTGCCCCCAGTCCTCATGCCCCCATTGTCCCTTCTGGAACAATGCTGTGGGGGTCCTCGGAGGAAGCTGGACCCCCGCCCTTCTCCAGCTCTTGACCGACCCCTGCTACTGAAGGGCTTCAGGGAGGTCTACTGTGGGCTGAAACCCCGGGGGCCACGGGAGGGCAGTTCGAGGGGCGCTTGCCCAGATGAGAAGGCCGAGGGATCCAGATGTGTCGTGTCAGCTCTGGGTTTTTCTGTCTGGGCCCGTCCTGAGTGCTGGGGACACCGTGAGAGAATGTGGGAGCTGGGGCCGATGTGGGGGTGCTGCGACCGCTGGGTTAGTGAGGACTGAAGGGCAGCCCCCGAGGGTGATGGGTGTGGGGAAGAGGAGACACAAGGAGGGCTGGGGGCAGCAGGGTCACTGTGGGGAGACCCAGGGCTGCAGGGAGGGAGGCCGGCAGGAGGTGGGCGCGGGAGGGCAGGGCTGGGGCGGGCACAGGAGGGCACGTGGGTGAGAGAGACAGACGGGCATGGTGTGTGTGAGAGAAGACTCAGACTGCTGCGTGTGTGCACATGAGCTTGTAGGTGCATGTGAGTGTGCACCTGTGTGCACACAGATGTGCGTGTGAGTGTACCCTAGAGTGTGCGCCTGTTAATGTGTGTGCATATGTGTGTGCATGTGTGAGAGCATGTGTGTGATTGTGCGTGTATATGTGTGACTGCATGTGTGTGCATTTGTATGTGTGTGAGTGTGGGAGTATGTGTGCTTGTGTGTGTGACTGTGTGTGCATTACTGTATGTGTGTACGTGTATATCCATGTGTGTGCACACATGTGTTCACACACATGTGCACGTTTTTGAGCAAGTATATCTATGTGTGCATGTGTGTACATGTATGCACACGTGTGTATGTGCACGTTATGTGCATGTATTTGTGTGCACACATGTGCTTGCGTGTGTGCACACACATGTGTGCGCATGTGTCTGCACATATGTATGTTCATGTGCGTGCACACGCATGCGTCTGCACATGTGTGTGCATGTGTGTCTATGTGTGTACATGCATGTGTATTTGTGTGCACACGTATGTGCATGCAAGCGTGCGTGCATGTGTGTGTGTGCATCCTGGGCCCTGGACTACCTTTCTCTTCTCCCTGTGCTCATGCCATGTCCCTCATTCCCAGCAGCCCCACCTCATGCCCAGTGGTTGCAGGGACTTAGGGGTGAGTGGACCCAGCGTCCTGGGTCCTGGTTGGAGAGTTGTACCACCTCGGGGGATGAAGTCAGGTGGCACCAGGCAGCAGGGCACGTGCCCAGCCCCCGCCGTGCCTCCCCCTGCACTCCTCGGCCGGCCAGCGCTCTGCCCTGGTGCTGGAGGGGTGGAGGCAGCCCAGGAGGACTGTTCAGGGATCCTTGGGTGGACCAAGAGCAGAAGCATCCCGTCCCTTCCCTGCGGGGGAGGCCGTCAGGATAATGGATCTGCGTCCGCACACCTGCCTCTCTGATGGCGCTTTGTTCTGAGGCGCAAAGTCAACGGTGTATTAATTAAGGGGGAGCAGCTGCTCCCGCAGTTCGGATGATCAGTCAGTGACAAATGGCCATGTTTACCTTCTTTTTGAGCAGAGCTTCTGGAAGCTCCTGGGTGGACACTGCGGCCGAGATTTGTGGGGTACGGCTTCTCCCTCATTCCCCCAAAGCTGCTTTATTGGTTCCACTGAGCCCTCAGGACCGTTTGTCATCCGGAGTGGCAGGGGCTGGGCCGAGCAACTTCTCAACTGTCCACGGGATGGGCCTGGACCCCACGTGGGTACCCTCCCACCTCGGCCCTCTGGGCTGCCCTGGTGAAATGAGTGGCCTGAAAGGGGAGCTGGGGTCCTTCAAAGACTGGGGGCTGTGGGCTCGGGCTGTCTGCACGGAGGGAAAGCCTGGCCTCCAGGTGGTCCCCAAACAGCTCCGGTAAAACACAGGGACCAGAGAGTCAGGACAGTGCGCAAGGCACTTGCCATGTACATGGCCAGCCAGGCTCGATCCTGGGCACATACTGCCAGGAGGAACCCCTGAGCACCCGGTAGACGTGAGCCAACCCCATGGTCCCTACAAAGACAGAGATGCACAGTGGAAGAAAGGGGGCCTGGCTTCTCTGTGCCCTTGGCCTGGCCCTCTGCCTCCCCATCTGGTTGTGGTTGTTCTCATCACTCCCACCCACATCCCACACGGGGTGCCCGGGGTGGGAGGTGGAAGAGCCAGTCCACAGCTCAGAAGCTGGACTTTGGTCCTAGCAGGTGGGCGAGGTGGGAGGCCCTGCTGGGACTTGGTGCCCCCTAGTGCCAGCAGCACACCTGTCTCTGCCTCCCCTTCCCCGAGCAGAGGGAACCTCTAGGGCTGGCATGACTGGTCCTGTGCACTGCAGGGCAGTGGGTATCTGGGGATCTCAGTCCAGGGGACTGTCCCCGTGTGTTGTCCTTGTGCAGCTGAGGCCTGATGGGACACCCCTCCAAACCACACCGCCCACCCCCATTCCGGCTCCACTGCCCAGGAGGGGAGAGGAAAAGGCTCTTGGCTGAGACACGTACATTTTCAATAAATAATTTATTTATCCAACGGATCCAACCCTGACACTGAGGCCTGTTGCAGTGGTTCGGCGCCTGACCTCGAGGCGGTCTCTGCCGGGGGCTGCCGTGCGGGCACCAGCCCTGCCGGTTATCCAGACATCAGAGGAAATGAAAGTATTGCTCAGTGAGGGAGACTGGAGCTTTATTAAGAAAACAAAAAATACCAGTAGCCCAGAAACAGAGCCTGGTGCCTTCTGGAGGCCGCTGTGTTGGTCTGGCCTCTCCTGCGGGGCAGAGCGGCTGCCAGGCCCCCTCCCTCTGGTAATAGCGCCCCTGCCAGGCTATGCCCGGGCTGCGGGCTGGGCGGCCAGCAGGGGGCAGCAGCGCGGCCTGGCACGCACCTGCACGCCACACCCGCTTTGCTGGCTGGGTGGTCTCGCCCACAAGAGGCTGGAATCCCACTTGGCCTAGGGCAGGGCCTACTCTAAGTCCCTCCTGGAGGCCGGATGGGCAGCCTCACTGCTGACCGCAAGGCCCTGCCTGCCATGGGCAGGTGTTTCTTGAGAGTCCTCCTGTGGTGCTGTTCCAACTCGGACAGGAGTGGCCCAGGCGGGCCCAAGCCAGGCTTCCCCTCCCCGCAAGCTCCCAGGTCACACCCTCTGAAGGCACATGGACAAGCTGCTCCCACCCCACCCGGCCACCTCCCACGGGTACCCTGCCACCACCCTGGCCCCGCACCCCCCAGGGGATGGGGGGCACACACCCGCCCGTCCTTACTCAGCCCTCCTCCCTCTCCCGCGAGAAGGGGAGACGGAGCCGATCAGCCCCCACCTGGGGTCCCCCTGCTTTCAAGGCAGCCCCTGTGTCCACGGGGCTCATCTGAGTCCGGCCGAACCGGAGGCGGGTCGAGGAAGGTGCAGCCAAGGCAAGAGTGAACTCAGCACCGGCAGGCGGGCGGCCCCGCGGGACATGGGACAGGCCCGGGGGCTCATCGCTCCGAGTCGGAGAAGGACGACGGCTTAGTCCATCTCCACACCAGCATGTCCTCGCCGGCCACCCGGTGGGACTCCGTCTGGATCCGGGACTCATTGGATGCCAGGAACTCCACCGCCCGCTCCCAGATGCGCTTCATGCGCCTCCTGCAAGGGCAAAGGCTGCTCAGCGGGGCGGGGCGGCTGCACCTGGGCTCTGCAGGGGTGCGTGGACCCCGGGCCCCCAGCTCTGCAGGAGGAGCTGTCAGGTGCCAACAGGGTGAATACAGAGGAGAAACAGTTCAGGTCACAGAGAAATGACTCCTCTGCCGTCTGCTCCTGAAGCTTTCATCCAAAGGGAGCAGGAAGGGGCTGTGTGTGTGCGCGCGCGCATGTGTGTGTGTGTGTGTACATGTGTGCACACGTGCATGCACGTGCGTCCATCCAGTTCTTGGGGCCCAGGTGAGGGGCTACATGGACCTCACCTCATGGCCTTCACCAATGCACGCGCGTTTCAATGGCCCCAGTGAGCTAATTACAAAGTGGCCACAGTGCAGTGAGTCCTGACTGCAGCCCTGTAGGGCTGGGGTGGGCAGCGCCCTTGGGGGAGGCAGGAAGTCGGAGCTGTCCCTTCCCCTGTGTGGTCCAGGGGCCTGGTGACCCCAGCCCATCTCTCTCCCCATCTCCAGGCTGGACAGGCAGAGGTGGGGGTGGCTGGGGCAGGGGGTGGGGGTGGGGGTGGCTCTGACATCCAGCTGACATGCGTGCCGCTTCGGGACTCAGGGGTCAGCCTGGGGCAGACGAGGTGGCCTGGGGGCAGCACCATGCGGTTGCAGGGCTCCTGCCCTGGACAGCAGCTGGCCCCCCACCTAGCCCACGGCTGTTCAGCGCCCCTGCTGAGCCAGGCACCTACTACTGCACCTCAAGCCCGTGCCCCGGGCAGAGCTAATGCCTATGCAGACCTCAGGGTGCCGCCACCCTCCCATGCGAGAGCGAGCAGCAGCTCTGGGCCTGGAGACGCAGCTGGGCGCTGAGCCACAGGGTGTGGGCGTGCGGGCCCTCCAGAATGGTGCCCGCCTGCCCCGTGGACATGCAGGAGCCAGTGTGCTGCGGGCTCAGGCCCGGGACTAGCACAATGCCCCAGGCACGGGCTGCCCCTCATGGTGTCCAGGTGCTAAGGCAACTTGTGTCCCATGCGCCCCGTGGTCTGGGCTGGTGCGTCCTGCACGGGGTCCAAGCTGCCAGTGAGGGAGGCAGCCCCTTCCCCACAGCCCCACCCGACACCAGGCTGTGAGAGGGGGCTCCTGGAGCAGCCCGGGGGAGGGGGGACAGTGACAGGCACCTGCCTGCTCCCTCCCAGTTCCCGCTACCCCTTCTTGGTGGGTCGAGGTGGCGACTTCCATCGAGTCTTGACTTTTACAATGGGTCTTTGAAGCTTGGTGCTTGCTCCCGGCCCCTGGGGAAGCCCACGAAGGGGTGACACCCACCACAGCCTGGCCGCGGGCACAGGTGCCCCGACCCTCGCTATCTCCTCGGAAGTGGGAGCTCTCTGCGGCGAGGCCAGATGGATGGACGGGGCTGTGGGAACAAGGGACTGGTCCCCAACTCCACACAGCCACTGGCTGGCCGCCATCATATCCTCGGGACCCAGAACGTACCTGGTCTGGGGAACAACTGCCCCTGCTCCCACTGGGCTGGGCCCTCTGCCCACCATGGGGAAGCAGACACACCCACAGTGTGTACTAGTGTGTGCACACACATACATGTGTGTGCTACGGAAGTCTGCGCACGTGTGCGCTAATGGGTGTGGGCTGCTAGTGTACACACATGTCAAAGCATGTGTCAGCACATGCACATGTGCACACTGGGCCGTGCCTAGCTCCAGGCCACATGTGACGGACAGTGGGTTCTCCTGACCAGGGACAGATCCCAGGGCAGGACAGCGGCTAGTTCCGGTCAGCAGTCAGTGTGCTGCTTGGCAGCTGAGTAGCTGAGTGCTGCTATTGGGACTTGCTACAGCTCCCAGTCTCTGGCTGTGACTGGTGTGTGTGTGTGTGTGTGTGTGTGTGTGTGTGTGTGTTCCCCTGCTGGCACTGGGCTCGTTGCAGGTGGTGTGTGGGGGGTGGGGGGTGGGAAGGGAAAGGCAGCCGGCTGTGGGCTTTACAGCAGAGCCATCCCGCAGCCCCTCCAGGGGCACCTGGCCCCCACCCTGTGACCACCAGGGGCGCAGTCTCAGATCAGAGGCAGGACCAGGAGAAGCCCAAGAAACTGAGCCAGAGCTCCCGATTCTGGGCGTCCACTTGTGGAGGACCAAGGGGCTCCTGGCCGCCTGCCCGCAGCCCACCCTGCTCACACCCTTGGGGGAGTGGCACGGATGAGCCATGTCCAGAGACGGCCATCTGTGTGGTGGGACACCACACACAGCTTGCACCCACATGGACAGCGCCCCGCCCACCCATGTGCGCAGCTGGAGGGGGCAGGGTGCTCCCGTGGCACTCACCGGCTCTGCGGGGGGATCAGGGTGTCACGCACATGCAGGATGCCCACGTAGGGGTAGCGCTCCATGTCCTGCTCCCAGTCCACGTAATGGTCCTGCACCACGTCTGCAGAGGGGGCAGGGTCAGGGGGCTCCTGCCCGCCCGCAGACCCGCCCGCCGCGTGCCCGCCCGGCCCACGCACCAATGATCTTCTTCACCATCTCGTACATGGCCTGCTCCTCCTCCTCCAGCTTCCGCCACCGGTACTTCAGGAGGATCAGGAGTCCCCACAGGAAAGCCAGGCCTGGGGAGCACAGCACCGTGAGCCCCCGCCGCCCGCTCCAGCTCTTGTGTCCCCCCTCCCCCGGCTGCCCTGGTATTCGAGACATGGTGCTGCCGCGACAGGCCAGACACCTGTGATCTGTGACTGTGGCTGCCAGGCCGGGGCATTCTGTGACTGGCATTTCCATGCCATACACCCCAGGTCCTGCTCCAAGGCAGCCCGAGGCCGGGAGACCAGCTCCAGCGGCAGGGCAGGTTTATGGCTTTCGGTGCAACAGGCTGAACCCCGGTGGCGCTGAGGGTCCTCCAGGGACTCTGGCGGGGGCCTGAGAGTACCTGGGCCCAGGGCACCTGGAGCCGTCCTGCATCCAGCAGGCGCTACGCATCAGCTCCCCAGGAAACGCCAGGGCCTGCTTCTGGGCCAGGCCTCGAGCTCACCAGGACGTGGAGGCCCCCAGTTCAGGGGAGGCAGCCTGCCTTGGCCTTGTACCTGAGTCTGTTCCTGGGCATCCCAGATGGTCCCTGGCAAGCCAGGAGCGATTCCTGAGCACAATGCCAGGAGTGACCTGAGCATCATGGGGTGAGGCCCAAAAGCCAAAATATCTTTTAAAAAGATTAAAAAAAAAAAAAAGAACCTGTTTAAGCCCCATATCCAAAGGTGCTGTGAGGGAGGGTGTCACTGGGGCGGGGACCCAGGGGGCAGGGAGGGTACCTACACCAGAAGAAGATGAGTACGTGGGTGGCGGCAGTGAGCAGGGCGCGGCTCAGGCGGCAGCCCACACCCATGCGCGGACGGGCCGACTCCAGGCAGACCACCTTGTCCACGCTGCTCACCAGTTCTGACGCGTCCTCCCCTTTCAGCCTGCAACAGGACACAGGGCTGGAGGGCGCCGCGGGGCCCGCGCAGCCTCTCTAGGCCCGGCCAAGCGACCCGCCGTCCCCGCGTCCGCTGCTTAGGAGGGGTGAAGCTTTAAGGACGGCAGCAGAACCCCCACCGCTCGCGACGCGCCCCTCCGTCGGGTTGGTGCCAGCCCCTCTCAGCGTGTGGAAGATTAAACTGTAAATTGGATTCCCACCTCCCAGCACAGAGGAATGGAAACGTTTACTGAGTCGCCGGCTCTGCATGGCAGGCCTGGAGTGGAGGACGGGGCGGGAGGGGCTGCCACGGCCCGGCCCGGCAACACGGGGACACGGGAGCTGCTTAAGCAGGAAGAGCCCAGGCCCAGGGCCCCGAGGAGGTGCCAGGACCCAGGGGACATGTGCACACACACCTTCTCGCAGGGATATGACAAGCTCGCTCCCCAGAGTACGCTGCGGGGCTGGTCTGCCCCCATGCGCCCCATTTCCCACGATCTGCTCTGGACAGGGCCCGGCCAGCTCAGCTGCCTTCTGGGCCGCGGTTCCCCCAGGCAAGATGCGTGGCATCAGCCCTGGACACCCGTGAGGAGCTGTGAGGAGAGTCTGCAGTCCCCACTGCCCTTCCTAAGGGGCGGGACACGTGCGGCCATGCAGCGGGCGAGGCTGGTCTCAGTGGAGTCCGCCGGGTGCCCAAGCTGCAGGCCTGGCTGCCTGAGGGGCTTCTGCAGGGCAAGGGACCTGGGAACGTGCACTCCTGGCAAGAGCCACAAACCAGACAGAGCCCAAGAAATAAACATGCGTGTGCATGTGTGTGCGCGTGTTTGTGTGTGTGTGCGCATGCGCGCATGCTGGTGAGAGCTCATGCGCGCTCACGCATGGTGCGGGCAGGGGTGGAGTAGGGAGAGCGCTCTGTCCACCGTGGTCCCTCTGGGCTCAGCAGTTCGCCGCCTTCCAGGAGGGGGCAGGGCTCCCGGCTCCACAAACCACAGTCGGGAACGCGGCAGAACTGCCCAGTCAGAAGAAAATCCAGTATTTCCTTAGCAATTTCCATACTAAGTGAAGCCCACAACGAATGAGGATCCGCCCGAGGGAGGGAGCGCAGGAAACCGCCTCCTCCAGCAGCACCGGGCGCTCGGCTGACGGGCGCGGCACCCTGGCGGGCGTGCAGCGAGATGGGCAACATCCTGACACCTGGATCTGTGTCTCATCCCCAGCGCTCCTGACGTGGCTTCCTTCCTGGGCCCGCTGCGAGCCACCCACGGTGCCTGGGACGTGGGGGAAGAAGCTGCCGGCGAGGCCGCACCCCGGACCCGGCCCCACTCACCAGATGCCCACGTCCTTGTTGCTGCTCAGGATCCAGGTCAGCGCCGACTCGAACTTGGCGGCAGAGCTGCCCGTCACATTCTGGGAGGGCCGGGGACAGAGAGATCAGCTCTGGGTCTGGGCAGGGCTGCGGGCACTGCACTATCTTCTGCGGCATGAAGGCCGTCCTGCCCGTGTCCTGCACGGCCGGACCCCACGCAGGGCCACACAGGCCAGGGGGCAGGTCTGGACGGGGAGGAACACGCCTTCCTCCGGGACAGAGCCTGAGGCCGAGGAGGGCAAGGGGGGCAGGGGCAGGTCTCAGCGGCCTAGACAAGGCAAGGCCCGGCCCCTCTCTGGCCCGACAGCCCCCAGGCTCTGGGATCCCACCACCTGGGGGCCCCGTAGAAAGGAGCCAGTCGGGCCATGTGTGCTGGGCTCTTCCGGGGAGAGGGCGGACAGGCTGAGTGCTGAAAGTCACAGGGAAGGGGTGCGCGCCGGGCGGGAGGGAGCGACGGGAACCCTCGACGGGACCCCTGCCATCAGTTCTCCAGGCTCCCACCCGCCCTCCTCGGCTGCTTCAACTTTAGGGGAGCTCAACCTCCGACTGGGGGGAATAAGGAAGGAGGGAAGAAAAAAAAATAGAAAGGAAAGTCGAAAAGCAAACACAAAACGAAAAGACAAAAGTGGAGGGAAACTTGGCAGGGCTCAGAAGATCAATAGCCAAGCCCGGGGCCCCCGGGAGCAGCCGCTGCAGCCGACTGACTTACCGCGAGATGGTCCCGCGCCTCCGTTACCGGAATGCATTTGCTCTTCAGCTTCTCTGGATTTCCACACTCAAAATTACCTAGGAGAAAACACACACACACACGGACACACACACTTAAACACAGAGAGAGGTGGGGGACCGCGAGACAGGCTGGAAAGATGCAGCGGGAAGTGGCCGGGGCAGGAGAGGGAGCTGAGGCCGGGCGGGCCTCGGGGCTGCTTCTCTCTGCAGCAAGATCAAAAGCCACTTAGCTTGGATCGATTCCAGATCATTAAAACCTGACCTGCAAAGCAGGGCAGCCATTTGCATTAAATGACTAAAAAGCTGCCCAATCCCAAGGTCTGTTTGCGATTGATCCCTAAAAGGATCCGACAGACAGCTCTGGAAGGTACCGGAAAGGTGCTAAAAATAAACCCAGCCCAGGGAAGGAGGCGCTGGCCGCAGACCCCCAGCCACTCGGGGGTGGGGAGCCAGGCCTGCAGGGGTGAGGCTGAGGGAAGGATGCGCAGATGCCCGAGGAGGAAGGGGTGTTCGGGCCAACTGCAGGGGCAGCTGAGCTGGGTACCCCCCTGAGTTCTGCTCATTCAGGCCCAGCCCGGGGGCGACCTTTCCCGAAAAGCCCCCATGGGGGCCTCAGACTCGGGGTCCTGCCTTTCCCACCCTCAGACGCAGCACCTCCCTCCCCCTCCCCTGCGGCCTGCCTGCCCCTGCCCTGGCCAGCCAAAGGAGGAATCCTGAACATGACTGACCGACCCCTTCGTGCCGCAAGGTCCCGAAAGTGAGGCGGTGGCTTTTCCTGCCAGCCCAGCCCACTGGGACCCCTCGCCGAGGCTTGTGGTGGGTCAGAGCTCGGGAATGACCCGGCCTGGACGGCACCTGCTAGGGATGGCGCCATGCTGGCCCCAGGGCTCCTGGCACAAGGCCGGCTCGAAAGCCCCGTGCCCCTCTGCGCCCGAACACAGGATCCTGGTGGCCTGGAACCCATGGTGGTTAGGGGTTAGGGTGGGCTCGGGGACCTTCCCGGGGCCAAGCCCCGAGATTCCCGGGGTCTGCATTCTATTCCATCCCAGCGAGGGCGCAGGAGGACCTGCCTCTGCCAAGGCCAGAGCTTCCCTCTGACTTAGCCATCACGAGGGGAAACCACAGGCCACAGCCCCTCTGCCCCCACCTTGCACTGCTGCAGAGGCCTCGACAACGCCTGCCAGACCCGCGCTCTGATGCTTCCCCCCCCCCCCCCCCGCCGGCCCGGCCCCTCTCAGGTGCAACCCCCCACCTACCAAGCTCCACCTGTGGTTTCCCTGAACATGGGGGGCCCACGGGGAGGACAGGTGAGCCCAACTGGGCAACACTGTCCTACAGCCCCGAGCACAGAGCTGGGAGAAGTTCCCAAGCTCCAGGAGTGGCCCAAAATCAGGGTTGGGGAGGGGGGCAGAACCCAGACTTCAGTCGGGAACCAGGGGCCCTAAGGAGGTCGTGGGGTGCCCAGGGAGGTCAGAGCCAGGTGCCAGCAGGCCAGCAAGGCCTCCAGGTCAAGGACCCAGGCTCAGGGAGGGCGCGGGCCTGGCCCCTTCTCTCCTGGATCTCAGGGCCTCGAAGGGTCTGGGGGCGCCTGTCTCCAGGAGGCCAACGGGCTCAGGAGCGCTAGGGGCCCCCCCCCGGCGCCCACTCACCGGCTTGGATGGCCAGGAAGTTGTAGAGCTCGTGCAGCACCTCCAGCAAGGCTGCCTTCTGCTTGGCCTGGCAGAACTGAAAGGGAGGGGACAGGGTCAGCGCCGGGTGGGCCAGCCGGGGACAGGGGTCAGTGCAGGGTGGGGCTTGGGACAGGCAGGGGCAGGGGCAGCGTGGGGCTAGATGGGGTCAGCACGGGACACGGGACAGCGTCAGTGAGGGGCGGGGTCAGCGTGGGACAGGGGTCAGTGTGGGGTGGGACTCAGGACAGGGGCAGCGGGGAGGGGGGGCGGGGGGGTCAGCGCGGGGCGGAGAACAGGGCCAGAGCGGGGCAGGGTCAGCGCTCCCCACGCTCAAGGACTAAGCGGCGCCCCACTCTCGGGAACCCCCAAAGCAGCTGTCAAGTGAGGGGCCACAAGCCGGGAGAACAGCCCAGGGGCAGCAGGGACCCCCAGCAGCCAGCGGCCAGGAGGGACACCCCGTGGGGACGCTGCCCAGTCCGTCACTCCTGTGCTCTTCTCACCGGCTTGGATGGGGACCATATGGGATGCTGGGCATCAAACTTGGGCCCCCACGTGCAAGGGAAAGGAAGGGAAGAAAACGCCCCCGACGGTGACACAGCAGAAGGTGGATGACGGAAGACCCGTTTCCCACAGCTCTTCGGGAGAGGCACCGGCTAGCATCATCCGTCACTGCTGCGGGTGTCTGATCCCGGACCAGACCCCCTCAAGGAAGCCCTGAGGCTGCGGGGAAAGCCAGGGTCCCATCCCAGTCACTTTGCTGGATTCAACGGAGTTAAGGCGTTTGGAGAAAGTCAATCTCCCTGACCCTGGCCAACAGGCCAGATGGGAACTGAGTGCCAGCGGCGACCCTGACCCCACGCCCAGGAGCCCTGCACACAGCCAGGGCTGGCCACTGTGGCCCACTCACACCCAGCACGCCTGGCCACACTGGACCAGGCTGCAGCCACCAGAGGTCACGATTTGTTGCTTGAGGACCTGGAAGCCTTTACAAAACACGAGAGGAGGGAACCAAGGCTTAGACGCCCGACTGCAACATACCTGGGGGTCCCCTGGCAGCGTCAGGGGCCCCCACAACTCCCTTTGAAAGAATCTTTAATGATGCAGGCAACGCTGAGAGTAAGTGATAAATGTAACCCAACAGAGCAGGAGACGCTGATTCTCTAAATGTACAGAACAGAGACAGGGTGGGGGGAGTGTTCCCTGCCCCGAACGTGAGCGGCGAGTCCCTCTAAGTGCACAACCGTAGGGGATTCTGTCACCTTTCAAAAATCCTTCACTGCTGCAAGCAGGAAAGAAAAAAAAAAGCAGTTGCAACGAACACTGTTCCCCATTCAGGGAAACTGAGGTTCAGCAGGGGTCAGCAGGAATGGACACTGAGAAGAGGCCCACAGGGACACGGCCTCACGGGACATCACCACACAGGCCAGAGCGACAGCACAGTGGGGAGAGTGTTTGCCTTGCACATGGGGGCCCAAGTTCGATGCCCAGCATCCCATATGGTCCCCTGAGCCTGCCAGGAGTGATTTCTGGGTGACCTTAGCTTTGGGGCCACACCTGGCAGTGCCAAGAACTTACTCCAGGCTCCTCACTCGGGGATCACTCCTGGCAGGGGTCAGGGCACCGTGGACGAGGACCAAACCCAGGCCAGCTGTGTGCAAAGGCAAGCACCGGCCTGCCATCCTCGGGCTCAGGCCAGTCACCCTGCCCGCACCCAACTCCCACCCACAGTGGAGGTGCCCATAACCTCCCAGAAGTACCTGGCCTGGAGGGGACAGTATCTCGAGGCAGGTGTGGCAAGATCCCGAGAGGCAGGATTGGCTCAGAAGTGGGCAGGGGCCAACTGTCCCTCAGTGGCCCTCGCATGTCCAGAGAGGCCAGGGTCCCGGACAGAGCCCAGGAAGGCCTCTCTTGAGAAGACAGACAGGCAAACACGGCCGGAGAAGCCTGACACAGGCATGTCTCTGGGCCTGGGCTCGGCCTCAGAAATGTTGTGTTCCCTCTCTGGCTCTGGCCCACTTCCCTTCCTCTCCCTGTCCACTGGCTGTGATCTCAGGCAGCCATGGTATCCGGCGAGTGAACACAGGAAAGGAAGGGAAGAAAACGCCCCCGACGGTGACACAGCAGAAGGTGGATGACGGAAGACCCGTTTCCCACAGCACTGACGGGCCGGGACAGGACTGCGCGTCCCTAAGAGGCCGGGTACCACCCACTGAGTAACGGCATCACTCATTCATGCCCTCTGCAGCACAGGCGCCTCCTGGGAGGATGGATGACCTGGACGCCCACGGCCTCATCTCGCCCCCAGGTACCACCTGTCCCCGGGACCCGCATCCATGACTCACGACGGAGGGGGCTGTCCACCCTCTCCAGCTACTCCTGGTGCAAGCATTACGGCTCCCCAAATAAGCAATTCCACCTGGGATGCTTCCAAACAACCCTGTTGGCTATTCCAACCCAGCCGCTCCAAGGAATTCAACATCAGACCCCAACATGGACAAACTGCCTGCCCGCACCGCAGCCCATGGGCCCCCAAGATGGGCGCCTGCAGGTCCCAGGCCCTGCGCTGAGGCTCATGGGAACCCACGGGGCAGGACGCGATGGAAGCACATCTCCTCCGGAGAGACTGATACTCACCTCATCCGTCTTCCTCTCACAGTCCACCGGCAGCAGTTTCACTGAGCCCGAGAAAAGAAAAACAAAGAGAGGGGCTGGAACAGTAGCACAGTGGGTAGGGCGTTTGCCTTGCACACGGCCCACCCGGGTTCGATTCCCAGCATCCCAGATGGTCCCCCGAGCACCGCCAGGAGTAATTCCTGAGTGCAGAGCCAGGAGTAACCCTTGTGCATGTGTGACCCAAAAAGAATAAAAAATAAAAAAACACAGAGGCTGAGTTAGAAGCGTGGGTGGAGGGAATGGGGACAGAAAGGGTCAGCTCTGGAAAAGCAGGGCGATGAGCTGGGCACAAGGGGGAGGGCCAGGAAGAGGCCAGCTGTAAAGGGAGCGTGAAGCAGAGGGGGGTCTGGGCCCAGGTGAGCAATGAGAAACTGGGGCCTGTTCTCAGGCAGAAGACGAGGGGCCCTGGGCACACAAAACCACCTGCACTTGGCAGCAGTTCCTAACGTGTGAAAAGGGATCATTGGGTGTCCGTGCCTAACTTGGGCTGGGCTCAAACACGGCAATGGACAGGCCAGCCTGGTAGCGCGGAGCGGGTGCTCCCAGCCAGGGACTAACCCGGCTGAATCTCGGCCCCATCTGGCTACGAGCTGCCGTGAGGGTTTCAGCGGTGACGCGGTGTAGACCCAGGCCCAGCCACATCCTCACAGGGTAGGCCCAGTTTCCTTAGCAGGTGGGTTGGAGTCTCAGGGTGTAGAGGGCTTGGGCCAGTGTGTGAGTAGGGCCCATAAGTGCCCAGGCTGCAACAACTAAGACAGTGCTGCAACCCCAGGCCTGCTGGGCGTGGGAAACCGCCTTCAGGGCTGGGAACTAATCGACCTCACTTGATGCTTTGCCAAGAACACTGGAAGTGGATGGATTCCAGCATCACTGGGGAAATTGCTAAACGCTCTCCCCTTGCTTCTTGTTTGCCTGAGCCTGGGATGACCCGAAAGGGAAAGTCCCCTGGCAGGGACCAGTTTCTGGCCCGGTCAGTTCCTGGCCGGTTTAACCGGAGACCCCTGGACAGCACGGTCGTTCGGAGGAGCTCCAACTACACTGGGCGCGCTCAGTGCTTCGCTCGCTCCGCTGCCCTCCTTGGAGGTGCGGGAGGCCATACGCAGTGCTGGGGGTGAAAGTGGGTCGCCACGATCCCAAGAGGTGCAGCGGGCAGGGATGAAGACCCCCGTTCGCGAGTCTAGACCGCCGAGAGGTGCGTCCACACCTTTCTCATCGGCAGGTGGCACGTCCCTCCCCACTGCTGAAGGGCCCACGGTCCGAAGCAGAACGTGGCTTTGTGGTGCCGCAAAGCTGGGGACCCCGATCGGATTCCCCCTGCGGGCAGCGAAGCCCGGGTGGGGGTCACTATCAGTAACTGTCCAAGGGCGGAGCCGAGGCACCGGCGAGGGGGAGTGGCCGCGGGGTGCGCACGGTCGGGGTGGGCGTGCTTCCCGCACGTGGCGCGCGCGGCGGGCCGGGCCGGGGCGCACGGCGCCGGGCATCGGGGCTGGGGCCCCCGCGGCCTCTCCCCCGGGCGCCGACCCCCCGTCCTCCCCGCCGCACGTACTGTTGTCCTCCGCCTCCTGCGGCGCCGAGGGCCTGGCCATCTTCAGCCAGAGGATGGCCAGGAAGACGAGCAGCAGCGCGAGGCTGGCCCCGAGCAGCAGGCGCGACAGGCAGCGCTCGAGCCGGCGGCCCGCCCCGGGCCTGCCCGCCAACGCCGCGCCCGCGCCCGCGCCGCCCGCCCAGGCCGCCCTGGCGCCGCGGAGGCCGGGCCGGGGCTCGGGGCCCGGCGGCGCCCCCCAGCGCCGGGCGCGCTCGGCCGGCCGCGCGTCCTCGTCGTCGTCGTCCGAGCTGCCGCGGTCCGAGGCGCGGCGGCGGGGCGCGGGCCAGGCGGGCCAGGCGCGCGGCGGGCAGGCCCGGGGCTCGGCGCGCAGCGGAACCGGGGCCGGCCGCGCGCGCAGCGGCGGCGCCTCCTCCCCCCGCAGCCGCGCCTCGCCCCGCAGGCGCCGCAGCTTGTTGCGGTACACGTCGCGGGTGGTGTCGGTGATGGGGCCCGGCTGGAAGCCCAGGGCCTGCAGCTCGCGCCGCAGCTCCAGGTCCGACAGGCCGGCCATGGCCCGGACGCCGCCGTCCCCCGCCCACCCCCGGCGCGCGCCGCACCCGGAACTGCTCCCGCCGGCCGCGGCGGAGCGGGCGGGGCCCGCGCCATGATGGGGAGGTCGGGCGCGCCGCCATGTTGGGAGGGTCGGCGCCCGCCGGCGGGGCGGGGCGGCCATGATGGGGAGGTCGGCCGAGCCGCTCCCGACTGGGACCGCCATGTTGGGAAGGTCCAGTGATTCCTCTTCCCCCCACCCCTCCACTCTCACCCTTCACTCAAAGGTGTATCCCAAGAGCCTGGTCTTTTAAAAGGGAATGTGCCTGCCACAGAGGTGGGGGTTGCGGGGGATGCTGGGAACATTGGTGGTGGAGAATGGGCACTGGTGGAGGGATGGGCACTCTATCCTTGTATGACTGAAAGTTTGTAAATCTGTAACTGTATCTCATGCTGATTCAATAAAAAAATTTAAAAAAACCTTATCTCTTTCTCTCTTCTCGTCTCTTCCTGTGTTCCCTCTTTCCCACCATATTTTGGGGGGGGCACAATCAGAGGCCCATGGAACCTGGGGTGTGGGTGGGGAGTGTGGAATTTTGCACATGCGCCCTAGCTCACGTTGCCCTTGCTCCCTGCCCCAGGATGTGCATCCCTTAATCCTCAGTTCCATGGCGGGAGGTGGGGAGGGTGGCAGGCAGGTGGTAGGCGCTCAGTGGAGTTTTGTTGATTTAATGGATGAGCTTCTCCGTGAAAGACAAGCTACTGTTTCTCACAGGAGGGAGATGACTTTCTCTGCATCTCTGCCTGGGGATTCATGTGCCCAGGAAGACCCCCATCCCCCACCCTTCCCTCTCCCTGACAGTTCTGTGTCTCCTGTGATTCAGGGTAGGGGTTCTGAAATGCCAGCTCCAACTCCACCACTTGCACTTGCTAGATGGATGGTCTTACCTGAGGACCGTTTCCAGCTTGTTGGCCAGCCAAGACCTCCCGGGTAGCTGTGAGGTTCGGAAAAGCTTTGTCCAAGGCACTTAGGATCCGCATGTTTATGCCTAACCGACATCTAGCTCTGCAGCCTCCCCCAGGACCCACGGCTTGATTATACGAAGGCTCTTTGTGGAGAACCCCCCGCCGGGGAAGAGGTAGCAAGTGAAACAGAAGTGCGGTTCAGGGTCTTCTCTGCCTCCCTCTCCCTCTTTATATTCTGTCCACATCCTGCATCGGCTGCTTTTCCCAGGCATGTACTGCTGGGCTCGCAGGTTCCATTCCCTCCTGCCCCTCTAACTCATCTCCCCTCTTCCCCACCTCAGTCTCTCTAGCCTTCCTGCACCCTCTGTCCCCCCACCCCCGTCCCCTCTGGTGCCCTTTCTGGGTCTTGGGCCAAGGCCCCTCTGCCAGAGTTTTGCAGTCCTGCCACTTGCTGCCCCAGAGAGACCCTCGACACTGCCACAGGCGTGGGAAAATGACAGCCCGACGTGGTCAGGCTTCTGCTGCCGCCCTCCCACCGCCCCGGCTTAGCTGCTCCCATGTGGCGAGATTTCTCTTACCAAGTGTTGTTTTCCTTTCCTCTGCCTGTGTTTGCACGGAATGCCATGAATTTGATATAGTGATTGCCTAACACATATACCACATAATAGTATTTTATTTCTTTCTGAAGCACTGTTTGCATGACAAATGAGTTGGTAACATTTGTGCGACTCCTTGCAGCTGTGCACTTCAATATATAAAGAATGAGCCTTTCGGCATCAATACCGGCCCCGGGTATTCTGAGAGGGCCTGCAACTGATGCTTAAACAAAGTTAACGGTACAGCATTTCACAGAGTTACGGTCTATTTCATCACAATGGATCTTGGGGCGATTTAAAAATATGTACTGAACTGGAGCCACCCCCAGCGGGGTCTCCTGTGTGGGCTTTGTCAGCCTCCCTTGTGTTTGGGGGCCCACTGCTGCTCTACGAGCATCCAGGCCTAATGGCCCGGAGCCCTCCCCAGCATCCCCCGTCCATGTCTATCCTCCACCTAGAACCAATCACAGTCACCGCTGAGGTCTGTGGGCGCACCCTCCAGCCCTCAGCCTCCACTGCAGCTTCTGGACGCTCCTGGCATCGACCTAGTGGGTGTGGGTATAAGAGACCTGCAGGCAGCACGAAGCTCCGTAGGAGTCCGTGGCTGATCAGGGCCGCCCTCTCCAGCCCCTGGGAGAAGACCACTCACCGTCTGATTGAGGAAGTCAGTGTGACTCTCCGCCTCCCTCTTGAACGCCCCGCCCCTTAGCCTGGGTGGGTAACGCAGGGCATCCTCCCTCCTCAGACTCCTCCCCAGGCACGGTGTGAAGCCAGCCTGTGGGTAATTAGGTTTGACAGGGGTGTTCTGAAACCACAACCCTGACCCCCGGGGCCTCCCCCTCCTCCACCCCAGGCTCTTTGGGGCGGTCTCATAGCCTGCCTCCCCCCCCCCCCACCCCCCCCACCCCCGCTGGTCTTGCTCTCGCTGCTCCCCTCCCCTTCCCCCCCCCCCCCCCCTTTCTCTATGCGCTGTGGTGGATTTTTCTGTTCAAAGGTGAGCAGCTCAGACAGTGGCGGGGCTTCCCGAGTTATTAAGGGCAAAAGAGGCCAAACGCGCGGCAGTGTCCAGATCTACTTAGCGGCCACATGCCTGGCAGAGAGAGGGGCTGCTTCAGGGACGAGCCGCTCCCCCGGAGGGCAGCCTCCCTGCAGGGCCGCCGACCTCTCTGGCTCGGCAGAGCCTGGTCATAATAACAGCCATAAATCTTTCAGTGGGCTCCGTTCTCGGCCGCCTGCAGAAAGCCCACTCTCACTTACCAGGACCTTAAAGATGCTTGGGACCCCGTCCTTACCCTTGAACCACCTCGTCACCTGCATTTCTCTCCGCTATTCTGGGCTGAAAGGGGGGCCGGCTGGGTCTGGTCATGGGGGAAGGGGGGAAGTGTAATCAAAGGGGTGTGTGGGGAGGGCAAATTCGGGGCCGTCGCGGGCTCGGCTTTTGGCTGTAAGGACCCCAGCACCACCAGGTACCTCTCCTCCTGAAAAGTGGGGCGGGGATGGAGACTCCCTTCCCATCACTGTCGATCCAAGTGAGGGCTGCCCCGGAGAAATGCCAGCACCAGTCACAGGCAGCGAGGTCAACTGCTTTTCAGAATGTGCTGACAGCCGCACAAAACGCTCTCTCTGGCCACTTGCGCCTGGGTGGCTGTGGGGGAAAAAGCTCCCTTTAGAGGCATCGAATCCACTCGCTCCCCGACGTCAATAACGAGTTGTGTATGAAGGAAAATGTAATGCTTTCAGAGCATTTTCTTTTGGGCTTTGTCCATGATTAGATTATACTAAATTACAGAGTACAGATATCAGGCAATTACTCTTTGCTTTTAACTATTCAATTTCATGGCAAATCCACGGAGCTCCGTAATTATAAAATCACACCGACGTGGTTATGGAGAAAATACCTCATCATCTTCCATCTTGCGGGCTCAGCATAGGTTGCCCTGTCACCCCCCAGTGGCCCTGCGCAGTGCAAAGCGCCTTCCACGTGAGGGAGGGGCCTCTGTAACCGCCCCCGAAACTGCAGGCTTGGGGGAGGGAGTCTCGGGGGATTTTCCTCAGACAGCCCTGGGAGGAGGCGGTGGTGTGGGCATGGGGGCAGGTGCCTGGGCCCTCTCTCATCCTGCCGGGGTCCCAGCCAGGGCATCGGTGGCTCTGACCAAGAGCATCTCTCTCCCGTGGCCGTTTTCTCCGGGTGCAGCTCGCAGCATCTTCTCTGGCCTCGTTTTCATTTCCTCCAGGGCTGCACGTGTCCCGTGAGCAATCGAGTCGGCTGCCCCGGAAACTGGAGGTGCTCGCTGGAGAAAAAGAATGATCTGGGCCGATTGTGAGAAATCGAACAAGGGCAGGAGGAGGGAACGGAGAGAAGAAAGGAGCGGCTGCTTCTGAGCGTCTGCGGGGACATACAGACGCGGCGCGGGGGGCGAGGGGGGGGCTGTCGTGGCTCGTTACCGAGAAGCACATCAGAGGCCCGGGCGAGGGTCGGGACGGCGCAGCCTGTGCCTGGCTGAGCCGCCTTTGAAAGTCCACCGCCTCGGGCTCGTGTCTGCCCCCTCCACCCCGCACCCTGTCCCTGTGAAAGGAAACCCGGGGGTTCTAAGGAAAACCCCCAGGAGGGGGCTGGGGGGACCCTGGCTCCGTGGTCGGGGGGCCACAGGGTCTCAGGCAGCACGGAGGGTGAGGAAGGGACAAAAGTCTGTGTTCTGGGTGGGGAGAGATGGAGCGTTTTATTCTTCTGCGTCTGGAAGCCGGTTGCAGAGAACAGAGGGAAGTGATGTGGGGGATCCCAGCAGGGCTGGGGGGCGTCCTGCACGCGGTTCCCTCCCCCCACCCCGGCCGCACACCCTGCAGACCCCGTGTCTGTCTGCTCTGCCTCCTCGCTGCAGTCACTCCCTGCATCTTGGCAGCGTGTCCTGAAGCCCAGGGCTGAGCTCCGGTTGGTGGCCTGGGCGCTGAGAAGCGTGGAAGGGGCAGAGAGCAGGGGCAGGATGGGGGGTGTTCCTCATAGCATTCAAAGCACTACCCACGGGAGAGGGCAGTCCTTTCCGAGGGGTTGGGGTCCTTTTGTCCTGGTGGTCCCCATCCAGCGCTCAGCTCCCTACACACACACACACACACACACACACACACACACACACTCGGTGGTGGGGGTTCTAGACCTAATTGCCAGTAAAACTGTGGATGGAGGCGGTGCAAGTCCGCTCCGGCCCTGGCTGATAAATAAATGAACATTCATTAATGCAAAATTAAATTAGAATGAAATTTCCCATCCGGTTTTGTCGAGAAGGCAGAAATAAGTGGCTGGCTGTGTCATTTTCTGCGGATGCCGGAGCATCTAGTCACAAGGTGGTAATGATGATAGTAATTTCCTCTTCGCTGGTGCCCCATCCCCGATCTCTCTGCAGATCTCACCTCCTGGCTTCTGCCAGGCCTCCGGGAGGTGAAGGGCCAAGGCTGGGCTGCGAGGCCTCTCGGCTCTCAGCCCACCGCACCTCGTGCTTGCTGGGAAGCTGAGGGCCGCCTCGGAATCAAGCCCCGAGGTCCAGTTCACTCTGCCACTCACACAGTGGGTGGGCTGCCTCCGTTTCCTTATTTATTTGTGTCTTGTTTGGGGACCACTCCTGGCTCTTACTCACTCAGGGTTCACTGCGGGTGGGGTTCGGGGAACTCCAAGGGGGTGTCGGGGGCTGAACCCAGGTCTGAGTTGTGTGCTGAGCAAACGCCCTCCCCACTGAACTCTCTCTTACCCCAGTTTCTTCACTTTCCACAGAAGGACAAATGCAGTGTTGAGTACTTGCCCGAAACCAGGCCTTCCCCAAGGGCGTGGGGCCAGCTCCACGAAGCTGTGTCCACCCCTGGTGGGCCTGACCCGAGTCTGACATTTGGAAATTCAAATATTCAAGAAAAGAGCCGTCTCAGTAGGTTGCTCACTTTTATTTGCTGGTGGGAAAGGAGGTGGGGGAGCTTGCTGGGGAGAGGGTGTCTTTCCTCCGTGTCCAGCTGGTGGTCTCTCGGGCCTTTCCCGCTGCTGCCTTGGGTGGGAGGGGCCCCCAGCACCTTCTTCCTGAGTGGGTGTTACTCAGCTGTTGGGAAGAGAAAAGGGGGCTTGAAGTTCAGGGAGGGCGCCGGGTCTGCGGCACCTTTAAAGCTGCAGCTGGTCGGGGGCTCCCAGGGCAGGGCACCCAGCCGGGCAGGAGCAGGGCTGGACTCTCCACCCCCAGCCAGAGTTCACGCTTGCCCAGGGCCAGTCGTTTAACCTCTAGCCCAAGCTGGCCACCTCTCTGCCTTTGTCCCCTCCCGGGCACCAGAGAAGTAATTAGAGGCTGTCAGGTGTGACCTCGCTTTGCACGGGGGACTCAGGATGACCTTGAACTAGGCAAAGCCGAGTGGACCAAGGGTTTGCAGCACTGAGGGTGGGCTTGGCCCCCAACACAAGGACCGCAGGGGTGCCACCCCTCACCCTGATCGGAGGGCATTGGCCTGAACTACCTCGGCAGGGCCTTGAGCCGTCCTCGGCTGGAGCACTGACCCGCAGTCCCGGCCCACCAGCTCCGCCATGAGGCCCCCTGTGGAGATGGCCAGGCTGGGGGGCGGAGACGGCGCCAGGCAGAAAAACAAACCCGCTCAGATGCGCTCCCGGAATATTAACGGTGTCGGCGCCGCCCTCCGTACCGTTCCGGGTGGACAGCGATGCTGGCCCCAGCAGCCCTGCCAGGGCGGCCCAGTACTTTTCCAGCTGCCTGGAGTTCATCCGTATTCCAATTTCCACGGGAGCAGTCAGCTGTGAAATAAGGCCGCGTTAACAAGGAGGGGAGGCGCTGGGAGCCCCACAGGTGGTCCTGGGGCAGCAGGGAGACTCGTTCTCCCCCCCCACCCCCTCGTCCCCGTCCCCTGTCCACCCGCGGTACCTCCCCCCAGGTCTCACAGGGGCGGTGGTGATGGTGGCTGGACGTGGCTGGACCTGCCAGGGGCCAGAAGCTGCTGTGGATGGGGATGAGGGCAGGATGACTGTGAAGCCCCTTTTCCCTGACAAGGGGACCCTCCCTCTCTCCTCCCGCACAAAAGTCGGGAACATTCCAAACGCTGTGTGAAGGCTCCTGGGAACCCCTCAATGAGGAGACTGCTGCGGCCCCCAGTCAAAGCAGTTGACCACTTGCTCAGGCCCCGTGGCTGAGTCCTGGAGGCAAAGGACGTTCCCCGTGGCCTGGCCCGACCCCAGCCTGCCGTGAGGACACGAGAGATGCATCGGACTCAAGATCAGACGCGCCACCAGGAGAGGCCGGGGGGATGGGGGGCAGCTGACTTGATTGCTCACGGACTGGCCATTGCTCTGGCCGCCCCGGTCCCAGGGTCTGTCTTCTCAGATGCACAGGCTGATTTGGGGTCTCCCTGCCACACCCCCCCCCGGGGAACTGCAGAGGAAACCCAGGCTGCTCCCCCACCTCCCACAGGCGGGGCTGTTGGAGCCCCTGGAACCCCCAGCCATCCCTCCTGGACTTGCCCTGCCCACACCAAGGTCACATGTCTTCACTGTGAGAGTCGAGGCCCCGTGAATCAGGAAGGCATCCTGGTCCATCTCCCGGGCCTCGGAGACAGAAAGGGGACCATGGCCTCCCGAGATGTCACACTGCACATCACACCGACCAGGGATGCTCCCGGTGGGCCTGGATCCCTGCCCAGGGCCATCTGGATGGTGGTTCTGTGGAAGGTCCTCATTCACCAACTGCAGAGAGCCCGGGAGTGCCTGGGCAGGACAGGACAGCCCCGTCCCCATACACACACACACACACACACACACACACACACACACAAGTGCACACACACACGCACACACACACATGCACGCACACACATGCATGCACACACATGCATGTACTCACGCACACATATGCATGCACACATGCATACATACACACGCACACACATGCACATACATGCACTCATGCACACACATGCATAAGCCCCGCTCGGTACCCACGGCCCAGGCAAGGCCCTACTCTCTCTGGATAATGGTTCCGTCCCCTCCCCGCCCCTCTGCAGGGAAGTTCCCTGAGCACAGGCCCCGCACCCCATCCTTCACCCGCAACCACCCCCCGGCCCCGCCTGCCGGAAGGTCCAGGGGATCACGGCACCGAATTGCCCCTCGACCTTTCTGGGGAAAGGCCTGCTCAGTGGCCTCATAGACTCCTGGTTCCCAGGTCCACTCCGACCTCTGGGTCTTCTTTCCCCGCAGCCTAGGGAATCAGCTGGCTGATCAGCACTGAGTCATGAGCAGCACCTGCAGCTTCGAGCCTGCAGCCCCAGGGCTGACCAACCCCTTCCGCCCGGGCTTCAGGGTCCAGCTTCCCCCTGACCCTGGGGGCTGGCGCCCCCCTCCCTCCCACTCATTCCCCCCACAGCAGCAGCTTCACAGGGAGCCCCCCATTCTCCCTCCCCCTCACAGTCTGCCCCAACACAGACCCTCGGAGCGTGCGACAGACCCTCATCCTCAACCAACCCCAGACGCCCCGACTGACACGTGTTCGGGACTGCGGTTCGAGACTGACGTGGGGCTTCTCAGCGATGCCCTAGCCCCTGTCTGCTCACCGTGATCACTGGGCATTCCTCTCCATCTGCGGGGTCCTTGGTGGTCAAGGGCTCTGCCTCCTCGGCAGCCCTGCGCTGCTCTCCCAGAGATCTCTTCCGCCCTCTATTCTGCTCCTTCTCCTGACAGAGACAGAGCACGAGACTACGCAAACCACCCTCGCCGACCTGCTAGCTGGCCCACTCCCCGTGGCCCACGGCACCCCTCCCCCCAGGAGCCTCAGCGCGAGGGGTCCAGACACAGGGGGCTGCAGAACGGCCCTCCGGGTCGCCCACGCAGTAGCGGGGAAAGGAGCCCGCGGTTCCTCGTGGCTCGGGCATGGCGCCCCGGTTGTTCCTGTTAATTAAGCTAAAGCGCTGAGAGTAATGACCGCCCTCCGAGCGTGTGACTTGGGGAAGTGTGGCTGCCGGAGCCGGGAGCCGATAAAAAAGGTGGCAAGACAGGCGAGCCGGTGCGCACGCCGTGGGGCGGCCGGGGAGCGTGGAGTCCCTGGGAGGTGATTGATAAGCGCGAGCCGGGAGATGGATCACGGGGGAACGTGGTGCAGCTTCTTCATAAAGATCCAGGCCGGGTGATGAGGAGGAGAGAAGCCGCAGAGCGGGTTCCTGGCTGGTGGCCTCGGTGCCATGTTGCTGGCTGGCGTCTGAGCCGGGCTGCGTTGACTGTGTCTCTCCTGCCTGGGGTCGGCCTGAGTCTCGCTTGGCAGGTCTCGGGGGGCAGGTGGGGGGGCTGAGGGCACACGTGAGCACCCCCAGGATACTCTGATTCCTCAGCCAGGCCCTTGGGGGTTCAGTTCTGGGCCTGTCCCGAACTCTGGGTCATGATTCTAGAGGAGAGATGGGTCTATCGGGAGAGGGGGGTGCATGGACCCCCTCTCTCCTTGCTCTTCTGTGTTCACCCTGCCCGGGGCCCTGGCTGAGCTTGCTGGGCAGGCGAGGGGGCCTGGACAGCCCTGGAGCTCCCAGGACTGCCCGCAGCCCCAACTCAGACATCCGACCTGGTGGAGCCCTGTCTCAGGGTGGAGGAACACTGGAGTTCCGTCTCCCCGGGTCAAAGGCAAAGGAACGTAGGCAGATACTCTGCTCAGCACCCTGCCGATGTGTCAGTTTAGGGGTACTGTGCCCTCTTTGCTTCTGTGCTCTAGAAAGAAGGGGCTGGAGAGGTGGGGCAGCTCCAGGTGAGACCCCCCCACCGCCTGGTCCCCCACTCACTGCTCCCCAGGAGCCCCCGCTGGCCGAAAAAAAGAGAAGGGACAGCAAGGGGCAGCAATGGCCCCTTCTCTGGCTCTGGACGCTCGCTTCTCCCAGCGGGCCCAGCTCCTCCTGCAGGCCCCAGGCCCAGCTCCCCCCTCCCCCTCCCCTTAGCAGCGTCTCTCCATCCTCCAACCCCACCACCCTCAGCACCACTTAGGGACCCGGAGGCCTGCTGGGTCTCCACCAAGCAGGCTTGTGTGGCAGACACCCTCCAAGACAGGGGGGCTCAGGTTTCCCTGGGGGGGCGGGGGCGGGCATGCCGAGAGGCTCCACAGCGATATCTATGTGCTTGTTCATTGAAAATTTCCTTGTGGGGGGTGCTGGAGCGATAGCACAGTGGGTAGGGCGTTTGCCTTGCACGCGGCCGACCCAGGTTCGATCCCCAGCATTCCCATATGATCCTTTGAGCACCACCAGGAATAATTCCTGAGTGCAGAGCCAGGAGTGGCCCAAAAAAGAAAAAAATATTTCCTCAGAGGGATGTGGGGGGGGCAGGAGAAGGTGGTTCATAGCAGGCCACTGGCACTCCCGCATGGCATTAGGTTTTGATTATGTTTTGGGGGTCACACACCCGGCGATGCTCAGGAGTGTGGGATGGATGCTGGGGATGGAACCAGGGTGGACCCCATGCAAGGCAAGTGCCCTCCCCATTGTGCCATCTTTCCGTCCCTGCCGTGCGGTGTTAGGGAAGGGTTCAGGGCACTGGGCCCCTTCTGATGATGTACTTGACCGGGTGCCAAGCCCTGCCCCCCACCTGCCGCAGGAACCCTTACCTGCATCCTCTGTAGCTCGCTGTGGGTGAAGATGGGCACGAAGCCCTCGGCCTGGGCGGCCAGCATGGTGACCACGTGTACCAGCAGCAGGGCAGCCACAGCCTTACGGGACACCATCCTGGAGCTGGACAGAGGCAGGCACCCGTTCACCACTGTGTCTGCGGTCCCCGGGGTGTGTGGCCCACAGGCCACTCAGTCTCTCCATGGGGCTGGGCCAGGAAGTGCAGACCCCCACCCCGGGTGGGCTGGGAGAGCTGACCCAGTCTCCCCTCCGAGGCAGCTTGTTCCCCATCCCCAATTTGGGGGTGGTTGTTGGGGGGTCTTCTGGGCTCAGCTGGGAGCATGCTGGGGAGATCCCACATCTCTGAGCAAAGTGTCTCCTAGCTCCGCCATCACAAGGAAGGTGACGCTGCTCCCCAGGGGGCCGGGATGACCTAGGGGCCACAGTGGCCTGGGGTACAAGGGGCGGGGGCCTTAATGGACTCATGGAAAGGCCGATTTGTGGGCGCTTGTCTTCATGCTGGGCAACTCAGATTAGACTCTGGCACCCACACGGTCTCCTGAGCTCATCAGGAGAGACCCCTGAGCACCGCCAGGGGTGGCTCAGAAACAAAAAAACAAAAAGAAGGTTGGGGGCCAGAGTGATAGCACAGCGGGGAGGGCATTTGCCTTGCATGCGGCCAACCCAGCTTCGATCCCCGGCATCCCATATGGTCCCCTGAGCACTGCCAGGAGGAATTCCTGAGTGCAGAGCCAGGAGTAACCCCTGAGCATTGCTGGGTGTGACCCCCACCTCAAAAAAAAGAAGGTTGATTTCTAGGGGTCCCTCGGTGATTTTTTTCTGCAAAGGGGGAGCCCCTGTGACTAGAGCTACCCCCGAGAAAATGAGGATGATGAAAGGGCCCCGCTGACCCCGCTGACCCCTGCTCTGCCTGGGGCCCAGCCATCATGCAGCAAGAAGAGCCCCGAGTCTCCGAGTGTGGTGGCAGAACTGGACACTGACTTTGCAGGGAGCAGAACCTGAGAGCCAGGTGGGGGCCACCGGAGCGGGGGGAGTCCTACCCCAGTCCTCAACCGCAGGGGGTACCTGCTCCGGTCCCAGCCCTCGGTGCTGGCGGGGACGGGGGTCCTGGATGGGCAGCAGGAGAGCAGACCGCGGGGTGCCTCTGGCCTAAGGTGCTGGCAGGGAACTGGCCTGAGGTGGAGGGCAGGGCCATGCCAGGGGTGGCCGCTGGGGGCATTTCAGTCCTGATGAGTTCAACCCCAGTGTCGGGGCAGAAACGCCAAGAGTGTCTGACCAGAGTGGGCCCGGGACAAGGCTAGCCTGCAGGGGGATGGGGCCGCTGCCCACATGGCCCCATCACCCTGCAGACCCCAGGCAGAAGGCAGAGGCTGGGCCCTCCCCCGCGGCCAACTGCTGCCTCTGGCAGGGCCGATGCTGGACACAGGAGCACATGCCCAGGCAGCCCTGACCCCTGTGAGGGCCAGGCCGGGCCCAGGAGGCTGGCATCGATGGAGACAGCCTGAGGCTGGCAGCTGAGCCCACAAGGGGCTGTTCTGAGTGAGGGGGTGGCTCTGATGGGCAGGGAGGTGGACACTGCCAGCAAGGAGTGTCCCCAAAGGAGACAACAGTCCCCACGGAGACTTCAGTCAGCTTTGCATGGACACCGGGGGATCCGGCACTCCTTCCAAGGCCCCGGGCAGCACCGGTGTCCCAGCAGGGGACAGGCCAGCCGGGGGTCTCTGGGGACCATATTCCTGGGAGCAAGGGGACGACCAGCAGCCTCAATGGTGGGTGGGGATCCCAGAGTCTCAGGGGTCCCGCAGTCCGAGGGCAGGCCTGGGCCTGGAGGGTCCCGCAGTCTGAGGGCAGACCTGGGCCTGGAGGGTCCTGCCCGGGCTGACCGCCAGGGTCACTGCAGGTCAGCCCCTTGTCCCTTGGGAGAGAAGCTGCTAGGGCCCTGGGTGGGTGTTGTCCCAGCCTCTGCCAGCCCTGTCCCCATGGCCACCTGGCCGCCTCCCCTCCATGTGCTGAAACACCCATAGGAGACGTGGCTGCCACAGCCGCGGACCTCCAGGACCCCAACCGGAGGGAACCAAGGTCCAGGCACAGAGGTGAGGGGTGCTGCCCCCTCCTGCCCCCAGCGTTCCCCGCTCCCTGCTGAGGCCGTGAGCATCTGGGAAGCCCCTCCTTCTTCAAGACAGACTCCTTCATGCTGGTCTTCACGCTGACCTTGTGCTACACACATCAGCAGCGACTTGGAACGAAAGCAGGCAGAACCCGATGGTGGGTCATTCCCCACATTCCTGTTAGCGTCCTGACTGTCCTCCCGGGAACTCAGAGATGAGCTTTCTTCCCAGTATGGTGAGGGGCTGCTCCCCCTTTCCCTCCCGGGGACCCCCGTCCCCCCTCCCCTTCCCCCAACATCTGCTGGCCCGCCCTGCTCAGTGCTGGCACCTGACCTCCGGCTCCTCAGGCCGAGGGGGTTCCAGGCTGGTGACCTCAGAGCTCTGTCTGGGGGCTCCTGCCCACCACCTGCCCTCTGAAGATGGCTACTCACGCGATCTGGGTGGGCGGCCAGTCTCTGTGGGTGAGCTGGTGTCTGGCTGGAGCCACAAGGCCCTTATATCCCTCCCACCCTCCCTCCGGGGCCATTAACCTTTGGTCGCACCCCTGGGGGCTCTTTGGGGGGGGGAGCTGGATTCTCGGAGCTCTCAGAAACAGGGGCAGGCCCTCGGGGCTCCCCTGGAATGCCTCCTTCTCTGGACAGTGGGGTTTGGGGCGTCCCAGCCAGATGGCTTTCTCTCACCCCCACAGGGCCCTCGGCTTTCCTTTGTCTGGGAGACCGGAAGCTGAGCGGTTCCTGAGTGGTTCCAGGCTTGCTGGGGGTGGGGGGGGAGGTTTGGGTGGTCCTGGCAGGGCACGGCTTGGAGCCAGGGAGACTGGGCAACCACAGGTTTGCTCCCCGACCCTCTGGAGTGACCCCAGGGGCAGAGCCTGGAGCAGACCTGGACACCTAGGGATGCCACGTCCCAGAGAGGGAGCTCATCTGCCGTTTTCGCGCCAAGACCCACGTGAAAGAAAGAGCTTAGGGCGCCTGGAGGGCTTTGATTGATGAAGGAAAAGGGATGACAGTCCTGACCCAGGGCCAGTGAGACTCAGGGCCAGCGAGATACAGGACCAGGGGGCCAGGGGCATGTCAGGTGGGGTCCAGGGGCCGTGTCTTGTGAGGTCCTGCGGCGTGTCAAATGGGGTCCAGGGGCCCATGTTCGGTGGGTCCAGGGCCTGTGCCCCACTTGACATGGGCCCCTGGACCCCACAGGTCACGACCCCTGGACTCCGACTCGTAGCTCAGGACGCAGGGCCCAGAAGCACTCAGAGCTCGCTTTCTTTCCAACTCGTGGCCTAGCAGCGAGGGCCTGTCCCCGAGCGCCCCCTTCACTGTCCCCTGGGCTGCTCTGTCTTTCCCCCTTGAGGCCAGCCTGTGGGCGGCCAGCCCAGCCCAGCCAGTCCCCAGGTCAGCCCAGAGGCTCCTGCCACAGGGCTCCTGGTGAGGCCTGGACCTGCAGGCCACCTGGGCTGCAGAAGCCTTTCCTCTGGGATTCAGAGCGCCAGGGACTGAGGATCTGAGTGCCAGAGGAGGTGTAAGCGCAGTGGGGGAGGGGCGAGTGTGAGTGCGGGGGAGGGTGGGGGAAGGGGAGCAGGGTGGTGGTGGGGGTCCCTTAAGCGCCAGGGCAGCCCCTCAGCCGCCCTGTGCTGGGCGGGACCTGTTTCTCCCACACCTATATGGAGGTGTGGGGTCAAATTAGGGCCAAGGTAAGCCTGCCACCTTATTTGGTTCTAGCTTGTGAACTAAGTCTGCATTTTTTTTTCATTTTAAATAATGAAGCACCAATTAATTATTAATTAATTATTATATTAAACGATTAATAATTCAAAGCATCAAAAGCGTCATTTTGAGTGACATGTCTCTATGAAATGACATGTCTTTATGAAATGCAAATCCTCCCGTCCGTAAGTTTTGTGAGGCAATCCGGGGGTTCGTCCACTGGGTACCAGAGACCTTCTGTCTTCCACGTGGGAGTTGTTTCTGTTTGGGGTGACGCTTGGGGCTTGCTGGGAGGTGCTGGGAGGTGCCAGGGATGGCCACAGGCCTCCAGCAGTCCAAGTGTGAGCTCAGACCCTCTCATCATCTCCCAGGCCCTGAAAAACAGTCTTTTCTGGACCTTCTAGAGAGTTTTCTCACCACTGACCTAGACAGTGTGTGTGGGGCTTGCTGTGGGATACATCGCTGTCAGACGCCAGACACATCCGAGCTGAGAAGTCCCCCGTGACCCTGTGGGGTCAGTGTGGCTATTGGTCCATTGCACAGGAAGGAAGGCCAAGGAGAAACCCGGGCCGAGACAAACATGCTGCCAGATGCTGCGTCTCAGCTAGGAAATGCTCCGTGGGCTTCCACCCCTGTGCTCTGAGGGGCACCACGGCCTCCGGGAAAATGCGCCCCCATGCCCAGACCAAATCCTGCATGCCTGCCAATATCTCCCCAGCCGCTGCCGGAGCTGGCGGCCTGGTGCAGGCGCAGGTGGTTCTCCTGTGTTCTTCGGTCTGGAGGGACCACGGGGTGTGGGCAAGGGTCTGCAGGTGGTGGCCGGGCCCCGTGCCAGGCGCGGGGAGCCCGTGCCCGCTCCTGGACTTCTTTCCCACCAAGCTTGAGATCGGGGCCCGGCCCCCGCGGGGCCTGCCTGGCTCCCATCCAGGGATGCCTTCGAGACACTCAGGCTGAGGAATGATTAGGGGCTGAGCCTTCCGAGAGGCGGGGTGTGGGGCGCGGGGGGAGCTGAACACGGTAATAACCCGGATCAGCGCTCTGGGCACGGAGAGCATTAGCTGGATCGCTCCCACGGCTCTGCGCTCCTGAGCCAGGAGAGCTGCAGGACTGCAGCCCGCTGTGGAGGAAGGAGGCAGGCCAGGGAGGGCTGCTCCCGGTCCCACGGGGAGGAGTGTGACGAGGCAACCGCATCGGCAGCAAGACGCTGGAAGACGGCAGGGCCTCTGCCTTGCACCTGCTCGGGCTGGCTCTAGGAGCTGCCTCACGGGGACCCAGCCCCTCCGGGCT